ATTTGACAGGTGAGATGGGAGGAAGGATGTAACATGCAGATCTATCAGCTATAAGCTTCAGACCCCTAAGTTATTCCAGTCTAGCAAGTCTTGGCAGAATTGTTGAAGCCAGCAAGGAAAAATCTCTTATTTCACCACGTGGTTTGATCATCCAACATCTAATGTCAAATGGACAAATACCTTCTTGGGCTACTCGTTCCAGAGGAATTTTATTAGAATAGGCTTTGATCTGGTAACCATTTTATGTCCCAATTTATACTGGGTTGAGTATATAGCAGTAACAATCTTTTCAGACAGCTTGAATCACACTGCAAGCAAAGCATGTCCAGTTTTATCAGAGGAAAACAATATTTTTTATTCGGCTTTATAATATTCAGACTAAGTAGAAACGCTGTGAGTAAACTCATTCTTGAAGCTTCATTGCAATATGGCACTTGAAACTAACCTTGGCTCTCATGACTCATCTCTGCTGGCATCCCCTGACACGCTTACGATTTTGAATCCAAGAATATCTGCAAGTCAAAGACCCAGACTAAGAGGCAAAACTGAAGCAATAGATGAACATCCCTCTTGATTTCCATCAGTCTTGAGTTCGTCACCTCTGAGATTAGTTCAGAAAACACTGTCTTGCAGGAGTACCTGCAAATACAAATATTGTTTGGCAATGTTTTGTTCTTGTGGATTTGATGGCCAAATAAACACATTTCCAAACACCTGCAAGTATTGTCTGCTTTGCTTTGTAAAATTGGAAACAGCTCATCAGCAGATGGCATGAGCACATCGTTAGTATTAATAAACCTATACACTCAAATGGAGAACAGGTGACTTCTGTTTGTAATTAAGCTAATCGCAGAGGCAGGAGAGAGCTCTTATCTTACCAGGAGTACAGCTGAAACTTAACTACTAGGCTGCACCAACAGAGCAAATACTTGCCTTGGCATTTGATGCTCATACAGCATCATGTGCTTTGGGGTTTCCCTGGCGTGGTTAGTGGCCAGGGCAGGACACCCCACTCATGCAGCTCCCTTCTGCTTCAACAGGTTAGTCTGCAGCTCTGCTGTAAAGCTAATTAATTTAGTTATTGCCAAACACTCAGATATTTAAAACCCCTGACATAAATAAAGCATGTAACATATACAGACTAAGCCTTACAACTGCTCACTTATTTTTTTCTGCAAACTTTACATCTTTTTTCCTCAGCCATTAGTAATTGCAGTAACTGCTTACAGTCAGTTCTAGTCTACTTCTTTCAACTCCATTAACCCTTTAACTCCCTCACGAGCTTTGGTGTCAATCATAATCATGAGAAATGTTTACCAAGAAGAGCAGGAAATTTAGAGATACAAGAGACTAGACATTGACAATTGGTTGTGAAGATCTTTACGCCTCGTTAGCAAGCCGCAGGAAATTTGCTGGGAATATACATTGCTGTAGGGGAAGCAGGGGTTGCAAGGTGCAGCTGAAAACAGTTTGGGGAATGTCAGAAGAAAACTGCATTTGCTGAAGTTTTGAACAGCAGCTCTAGGTTGGGTGTCTCTTGGAAGGCTTTTGAAGTGCAGATTAAATAATTCCAAATGATGACAAAAAAACTCTGTTAAGAAAACAAAAGCTCTGGGCTTTCAGCCACTTCAGGGCTGTTGGTTTTGTGCCTGGAAAGAACCCTGCACCCGTTCACTGCTGCCGCTTGGGCTGCTCTTCTGGAGCGCCCCTTTCTCATACAGTCCTTCTTTTTTTTGTCAGTTTGCTTTTTTTCCTTCCTCTGCCTTTGCTCAGGGGTCTGGATAGCCTCCTCTTTTACAGAATGGTTTGGGTTGGAAGGGACCTTAGAGGTCACCTCATTCCAGCCTCCCCTGCCATGGGCAGGGAAAGGCGAGCCTGTCCCTGGGTGGGCTCAGACCATCACCCCGTACAGTGAATAGCTGAACGTGCTAACCAGTTGCACCACAGAGGTGCCCTTTTAGCTCTCCGGTGTTCCTGCTTGTGGCTGGCCATGATGCTTTAGCACCAGCTCTTGAAACCCCTCTTCTAACCAGGCGGAGCCTCAGTTGCTGTGTGATAACTAACTCTTGTTTTCCAGTCTGGTCGTGTGTTCAGGAGGCAAGGCAAGGCACCGGGAAAGGGGTACAGCAGAGACTTTCAGGTTAGCCTTGCCCCAGCTGTGCAGCAGAGCCAGAAAATGCTGTGCCTTCCCGACAGGAGCGAGAAGGGGTTATTGTGTTCTGGGGTTGAACGCGCTGCTATCAAACCAAAAGCTTTTGATCCAGGTGGCCGTGAGGAGGGAGGGGGCTGTGGAACAAAACGGGACTAAAACTCAGTCTGAATTTTCCCCTGGACCTGAAGTATCAGCACTCAGGCTGATTCTGTACTTTAAACATTGATGCCTTGCTAAGTGTGAGTGGGTTTTGAGACGCTCTTGCAACCGTCCTTGCTCAGGGAAGCAAACATGGTTTTAAGGCTTCCCTTTGCGTGGTAGCAGCTGGCAAAAGCAAGATGACATCAGTAGAGATGGGTATGACTGAAGTGCCTTCTCAGCGAGGAGTAACCTCCTCGCCCCTTGCTTGCAGCTCTGCACTCACCTCTCCTAGTTTTGGCTGCTAAAATAGGATCTGGTCAACTAAGCTTTAGCAATTTATAATGGCAAAAAGTGTGATTGCTCTTACAGCTGCCTAATGCTGTGTTTGCCAGTAGGACAGTAATAAAGGAGTCCTGGCAGGCAGTGCAGGTGTGCCCTTATAGTTGTAAGAGGTGTTGGTGGTATTCAGAAAATACAATATTTTATTTTTTTTTTCCACGTGTGGGGTTTATTAGGAGTGAATCCCAGGCACTGAGCATTTTCTCTCCTGATTTTATTTGCCACAGATGAGACCACACTCAGTTTTACCATTTCATGTTTTAGTATTGGGGTATAGTTACTACCAGCTAAAACAGCAGATCCTTTAAAAGTTAAAGCATCATCTCTGGTATCTTCCCACTCCTGTATTTCTAAACAGAGCATGGTTTCTAGCCCCAGCCTAGGAAGTCCATTAGTATGGAGTTGGCTGCACGGAGCATGACACGCTAGTGCTTGTATCCTAATTTCTGGTCTTGCCCATCTCCTGTGATGTTCCTCCTCCTTCCACCCACACCTGTGGATCCCCCACTATGCCTGGGGAACATCATTTCAAAAGAAGTGAGAACTCAACCAAGGATGTCAGAGCTGACCTGTTTTGGCCATCACCGCTGAAGCAGATAGAGAGGAAGCCTGCCCATGGTGCACACCTCTGCTAGAGGTCCTCACAGTGGTAGGAAAGAAAATGAGCTTGTCTCTATTTCTCCCAGCTCTGCATTTAAATAGAACTGCTTTCTATACTCTCACGGGCTATGTTTAATTTGTGAACTTGCCAAGATGTTCTCCTTTTTTCTCAGAATCATTGGACTCTCTTTAAAGGGTGAAATGGTTTTATTGCCCTTGGAGAATGCTGCAGAATTTTTGCATTCACATATGGTAGAGCATGAGATTATAGACTTTCAGCCACAGAAAAGGACATGGGGATCTGTCCTTTAAATATGGATTTTAAATTAAAAGATGCTTTACCTTGCCTGCAGAAGTACAGAAGCAATGAAAAGTGAACGCCGTAGTTTATTGAACAAAACTTCTGGTTGCAATGAAGGCAGCTTTTTTCCTCTATCTGACACTCTGGGGGGTGGGGGAAGAGGAGCCCAGGCAGTATTAAGCTTATGTTCTGATTTTATAGTAAAAGTTCCACATGGCTACATATATTTTAAAGACCAGTTAGCATTTTCAGACAGAAATGGCCTGGTACTGTGCAAAGGTTTGAATGTTCTTCTTGTAATACTTTTTAAAGTTAAGATTTGGCCCAAATCACTACTTCTGAAGAAAATCCCTCAACTCTTCATGTGCAGGTGGAACAGTCACTTCAGCTTAAATACAGGAAATGTTGGGCATAATAGCCCTTGCTTGCACAGATCTTGTTAACAAGAACATAATTTCCTAATCACTCCCTTGAAAGCAAACCCAGATGATAGAAGCATAGTTGAGCTCCTGCCAAACACCTCAAGAACTCCCATTTCACACCCAAGCTCCTGCAGAAGTGCCAGGATAACCTCAGCTATTCAGTGGGGAAAAAAAAAACCAAACCTTAAGCACCATGCTTATGGTTCCTTATACTTATGTTCTTAAATGCAGAAACTATCAGTTGGGATAGTACAGAAACTTGAGTAAGAAACAAGAGTGCAGACATCTAGATGTGTTTGTATTACACACCAAGGCAATATATAACTCTGCGGGCAATATTGCCTTAGTGGCAACATCCTAGCCCATCTCCCCATCCTCTTGAATTAGGCCTTGAGAAAAAAGAGAGTTGACTTTTTTTTTTTAAGATGTAGAATAGTTAGAGGACAAAAGAACAGATTCTAGTTTTTGGTGGTGGTGGTCCCTCCACAGTGAGGGCATGTGTGTGATTTAATGAGGCACGCAAAGGGCTTTGATCTTGCATCACCTTCATGAGGTAAGTGATGAAAACAGGAGCCTTCACTGGTGGTAGAAGCTCATCAAGAGGTGATGGAAGTGGCAATTGCTGCAAGTCCGTAGATATGGTGGGTTTCAATATAATGTATCTCTAATACAAATACACTAAAAGCTGTGAGACTTCCCTCAGCTTGTTACAGTAGTGCTTTCAAAAAGCAAACAACCGAGCAAGCTCACCCACTAGATGTCTGTAGACCATGTTGCAGGAACCGCAAATGCTAGAGACAACTTTAATTTTATTTATCTATATTTTTCCCATTAGCTTGTGAAACTATTGACCAGTTATCTACTTTTTTTTTAAACAGAGCATATGACAAGTTGACAAAATTATCATCTTGCTCCAGAGAAGTTTTTTATAGGCTCCCTGGGTTACTAAATGGGACGAAGGGTGGAGCTAGTCATTTAGCCACACCCATAGTGAGGTTTATAAAAGGAAGTTTTCTAGGGCAAGTTCCTTTCTACCAGCCTATGACAACTGGCAGTTTTATTTAACAGGGTTTTAGCTTTAAAAAAACCCCAAAATTCTAACATGTCAAGGCCTCGTAAAGGTCCCCATAGTGGGGATGCTCCTCTAAATGAATCTTTGAAACAGCAAGGTAAGGTAAGTCATGGGGTCTGCTTTACTATTTCATTTTTACACAATGTATTTCTGTGGCAAAGGGCTGAGTAGTACTGTAAATCCAAAGGTCTGTATTTTCTGTGCCATGTGTAATTGGAGTTTTGCTCTCTGTAGTTTTTGTGTTCCTGTAATGCTAACTCAAATGGAGAAAAAACAACCTGAAAAAAGCATCCCTGAACTTGTTAGAGTTTGGAGAGGTTGCTAGTTGTTGTAGGGTGGTCAGGCTTTCAAGGCTGCTGACTCTGAGGGCTAATTTGTACCACCTGTCCATAGCACCGAGGTTAATGTGGTGTTTGCAATTGTGCTGCTCTTCGTAAGTCGCACCGATATTAATTTCTCAAGCATACAAGTGAAAGATATGCTATGCTTTATTGCACAATTGCTGTGACTTAGTCATGAGTTTTTGATACGCCCAGGAATCCTGCCATAATTTTGGGGTTTTACAGTATCACAGTTTCCTTACGTGTACATGCAAATAATTGCTTATAAGTCACTCTGTTCAGCAGAGGTCTTGTGAGTTACTGTGGGTGTCCCTTGATGAGGTTAGGTGCTATAAAGGTTTGTTTGCTGTTGAACACGGGTACTTGTGTTGGTACAATAATTCTGCAGACAGGTCTGTATTGGTTTACAAGATGGCTGGGTGAAATCTTTCATAATTATCAACTGAAGTCAAATGCATCGTATCAAAAAGTGATCACACCAATTGTAGCACGGATGGGTCAAGAATGCTGGTCAGCATAAAAAAGTACCTAAGCCATTACGCTGGTTACCTAGCTCTGGGCTTATTGCTGGTGTGATGGTAAAGCCGAATTGTAAGGAATTGGAGAGAGGAGAATGAACCTTGAAAATGCTTTTTAGGAGCTCCTTTCAGGCCTCTGGAAAAATGGAAGAAAGTCCAGACTTCTTTGAAAACTTAATAAGCAATGAGAGACAAGTGTCTTTAAAAGTTAACTTTTTCCTCCAGTTACTTTATCTGTACGTAACTGGATCAGAGTAATAAGTTTTGTCTTGTGAGCCTTCAGTTTAGAAGGAGTAGAAGTCACTAGAACTTTTGTATTCATTGCGCCCAAAACATGGGAAGTGTTTGAGGATCACTAGTCCACTAGTTGTTCTCCAGAGTACGCTAGTATAACTGCTACAGAAACAACCGAAGTAATGGTTGCCACAAAAACCAGCGGTGTTGATGGGTTCTCTTTTTCAGGCTGTAAGCAAAACTGTGAATTAATGTAGCTGGCAAAATGCTGACTGATGGCCTCTTGGGCAAAACGGTACGATCTAAGTTGGAGAGGCTGTCAGAGCATTTTGACTTTGTGTGATTAGTAGACATGAGAAAATAAATGCATCTTGCATTTGAATAGACACATTTTCCACCTTGATAATGCTGTGGTTTTTCTTTGGAGCTTTTCCTGTCACTATGAAACTTGTAGGATGCTTAGCTTGAGCAGCGTGGTCATTTCTGCTTTTTACCATGTGTTTTTACTGATATGTAACAAAGTGTGGCTGTGCTGGATTGTGGTGAGAGGAGTCTTGTTTGACAGCGGAGCCGCCTCCCGCAAGGGAGTCCCCTTGGCTTTATCCACTGCCATTCTTCCGGGAGGTTGACATGTTGCAGTGAGATTGTTCATAGGTATTTTTAAGCGCATTGCATTTATTTTAAGTGCCTGATGTAGACCAAACTGTTAAAAACTATTTGCTGTTATCTGTTGTTGTATTAGTACAGTGAATGGGAGAGATGAAGGGAAAATACTGACAGTTCTGGCAGAGAAACTTAGTTGTGTCTGCTCTTGGGTGCTCTTGGATGGGTTTTCTGAATCGGGGAGAAAGGTTGAGCTTTTTCAAGTGGGTAAGGTAGTTACCTCCTCCTTGACATTCCTGCATAGCTTAACGTGTTTGTAAACTTGGTCACTCCTCTAAGCAGGGATTAAAGTGATTTCTGTAGTCTTGTGACTTGAAAAGCAATATTTATGGAATAAATACTTACCTGGGGTAATTCTGACACTAACCTGCTATTCAACACAAATGAGTCAAGGGACACCGACTGTCCCATGGCTGATTACTTATTATATTTGCTAAATTTAGATAAATCTTCAAAAGTCTACGTTTGAGTAGCCAAACTACAAGCCTTAGGGTGCTATTTTCCTCTCCTGATTTGATTTTTGGAGCCACAAATGTACTAAATGCAGAAAGTCCACAACGATGACTTCTTGGTCATGAGCTGAGTAATTAAGAGGCAGATGGCCCACAACAATCTCTTAGTAACTTATTTCTTTGAGGTGGTGTATGGAGGCTGGCACTGACAGCTGGATTACTCTGACGTGGTGTTCTGTTAGTCCCTTCACATTTCAATACTTTTGCTTTCAGAAGATTCAAGCACATAACTTCAGCATATTTGGGTGGATGCTAAAATTAAGTCTTTCTCTGGATTCTCCCTCCTTAATTCAAGAATGGCAACATAAGCATGTTCAGAGCTGAGCTGGGGGAGGGATGTGGGGCAGTTTGTAGGTTTGGCTGGGGTGGGTGCAGGGGCGATCACAAAGAAGAGGCTGGCGTTGGTGGCCTGAGACGGTCCAAGGGGAGGAGGGAGGTTCCCAGGAGGATGGGGAGGGCAGAGTGGAAGGTGAGAGACCCCAGCACAGTGGCAGCTTCTGAGTCTTGGCCCAGCCTTTAAACCTTGCTGGCCCTGCACAGTCTTCAGTGTCTCTCATTGTTTCCCATCATATCTTTCACTGCTACCAAGAAAGTGAGTTTTCTGACTCCTGGATGAGGACAGAAATGCATTATTCTCAACATTCCTGGGTCAGCCAAAGTCAGTCGTACCTGTACTGCTGAGAGGACCCAAGCTGACCCCGCTTAGCTGGGTGCCTTACTGCTTTATGAATCAGCACACCACTCTGGATTCTCCTGTTCAGCTGTCATTTATTTAGGTTGTGGAATCCTGAAATCAGAAGGGTTTTACAGACCCTAAAATCACTGCAGTTTCTTTAATGTGACTGAATTTCCTTAAATAATACTTTTTTTCTCAGGGCAGCACTGTCAGAGGAAAGACTCAGCTGGCTTTTGCTGCCCTAGTTTAGTTCAAGTCAAACCAGGTTGCTGAGTTTAAACAGTAAGTCTCGCGGACTTGAGTTTTTTCAGTTTTTGTTCACCCGACAATGATGCACATAGGCAACAATTTCCATCACAAGGAAGAAGCCTGAAGTTCAGCTCCTTTGTGCAAGCTGGAAGGGGAGTTGCAAAGGATGCAGTATACAATGAAAATTCTCCTTAGATAACTGATATCTAAATAACAAACTCAGAAAGAAATGTAACCACCAGTCAGATGTCACTTGGCCTGAGACAACATTTTTGAGGTCTATTTGCAAGATGCTTGAAGGCCACATCAGATGAAGGATGTGATTAGCATCCTGCGTATGACTTCAGGATGGTGTATCATCGCTGCTGCAGCAATAATCCTTCATGGGGATGCAGGGACTACAGGCAACATGTGATCATGTTAGAAAACCAGATAGAGAAATCCTACGATGGGCTTTTCAAATGACAGGGAACTTATTATGTAGCTGTGGAAAGGACCAACAAGAAACGTTTGTCTGACTGATGGCAGCGATATCTCTTGCCTTCCTCTGAAAGGAACACGTAGCTACTGGTACAGTTCTGTCCATTAAAACAATGTGGCACAGAGGAGTTGATGCTGCTTTGTTACAGCATTCGCTGTGCGCTACTGCAAGAAATTCAAAGTGCTGCCTTCCGCTCTTCGACCCTGAAGATCTTATTCCAGGTTTTACTGAATTCAGTGATACGCAGTGAGACACAAATAAAATGTGTACGTTATGCAGTGGCATAAATGCATCCATTTAAACCCACTAAGATCGGTGGTGCAGAGCCCCCTAATTATTTTCTGTATACATCCTGCTGTGCGCTATGGTGTCTGTATTTTTTTCATGATGACCAGTTTACATTTGATAACTCGCTGCTAGAACTTGAAATTGCAGGAAAAGGTTTGCTAAGAGTGGCGTCTGAAGTGGAAGTGAGTGGTATTTCTGCCTTTCTCGTAGCCCTAAGTGTACAGGCTGGTCCTGGAAGGTGCTGGCGAGCCCGCTCAGAGGCAATCAGTGGGAGCTGGGTATCAGCCTGTGTGCTTTCAGGGCGCCGCAGCGGGGCCTGGAGCTGGCCTGAGCTTCCCGGGGGAGCCACCCGCTCTTCTCTATTATGTGAGCGTAAGTGAGGTGTTAGAGGCTTCCAGCCCACAAAGCTGATTTTTATTAGAACATAAAAATATGTGTTAGAAGAAAAAGCACTTACCAACAGGAGAGAGATTAAAGCTCTTTAATAATATATACCTTCCACGCCCTATGTATCCTGTGCAGTGGGGTACTTCCCCCCCTATCTTTTCTAGTTCTCTAATTTTTTGGCTTCTGAAGTCGAAGAAATTCTGCGCTGTCCCCAAGAGAGTTTATTTTCACTTCTTGCTGGGCTTGCCTTTTGATTTGAGTCTCTGGCTTGGGCATCTCTCGTCGTCCACTTGTGCATCACGCGGACCACGAAGGGATTTCACTCCCAGCTCGCAAGCTAAGCCCCACAACAGTCAAATAAACAGCCCTCTGTGTGTCTGTAAACATAAAAACTCTCTTTGAGTTGGATTCTCTCGCCGTACTACCGGATGCCTTTCCATTGGTATCAAGCAGAGACAGGCCCACCTCTTCTGGGATGTGGACTGCTAAAACATGTGGCTTTATTCCAAATTAACAAATTGACTGTAAAGGAAGCAGCAACTTGTGTTCCTGAATTTATTGAGTTCTTAGTGTCAGAAAACTGTTACGCTGGCTTGCACGTCCTGTTTTCCTGTGTGGAAAGAACACAGCACTTCAAACAAGACAAGGTTGTGAGTATCCCTACTAAGGAAATCAAGAGTATTTCTGGGATTAAAAATAGTGCACTTCCCAGTGTAACATCATGTCACTTAGTTAAAGCTGAGACAGCTTCAG